TTATCAGTAAAAACCTCAAATCATGTCCTTTCTGATAATTATTAGAACTCTAGAAGAACTTTAACTCAGCAGAGTTTCTCCCAGGATTTTTTTAACCGCGGTGGTGACCTCTCATGTGGGGTTTTGACAAAATCTGGTTGTCCTCAAAACATTTTGGTTGTCCGAAACATATCTCAATAAAAATATAACTTAACAAGTAGGCTATATTGTTCTGTATACAAAGTGTAATGTATACAAATGTTCTCAGTCAGCAGGTTGACAGTTTTAGGAGCTGCTTGAGGAGAACTTCCTCGTCCTCCTCCTCATCCTCTTCTTTGAAAAAGAGATCAAAAACCAACATCCAACATCCATAAGCTTTCTGCTTACAGGTCGAACATTTTTATTTAAATTGGAGTAAACTGTGTACTTATTAAAAGTTACAGTTTAGTGTTCTTAGGACTGAAGACTTTCTGAGGAAAGTTTTTAAACATCTTTTCTATAATTTTAGCATTTTCAACTGAGGGACTTTGATATACTTATTTAAAATAAACTATAGCGGAGGAAGTTCTCTGCACAGAAAAAAAATATATTTTTACTGGGTTTTTTTAACCAAACTGACAAGTTTCTCCAGTAAAATGATTGTGTAACTTAAAGGCATTGAAACACCTGGTTAAATTTAGAAGGTATTATAATTAACTACAAACATCTGAAGCTGACTCAGAGAACTCTGTGAGTTTAGAAAAAATAAGTCAAATGTAGACACGTCTTTAAAAGACCCTCCTCCTCCTCCCCACCCCACGCAGCTGCAGTCAGCGCACCTCCACCCCACCCGTGTGATTAATACTGATTTTTTGCGCAAATTATAAATTTCTGATGCTCATTAAACACGTCAAACGTCTGAAGGGGTTGACATGTATGAACTTTAAGTCCCAGGCAGGGCTGGTCGGAGCCAAGCTGCAGGTGGACAGGTTCGCTGCCCCTCGCTTTAAAAACAGTCAGCTGATTGGTCGCGGTTTTGTTGCGCTCGTGACGTGAACACACAGGGGGAAATGC